GAGGAGCCGCGAGTACTGGGACTATGAGGCTCACGTCCCGAGCTGGGGGTAAAGCCGCCGCCGGCCCCTCTGACCCCAACCCCTGCCGCCCCCCGGCGCAAACCTCAGCGATCTGTCTCTCCGCCGGCCCCTCTGCTGGGCCCGCGCTTCCTTGGGTCTGGGGCTGGAAGCAGACCACCCCCTTGCATGTTTTCGTCTCCCTCTCCCTTTTTCTTGCCTCTTCCTCCCCGCCGTGCGCAGCCCCTTTCTCCCGCTTACCCCAGGGAATGCTTTCTTACTGAGAAGTACAGTGGTCCAGGGACCAGAGCCTGGTGGAAGTGAGGGAGCAGCCTTTCCTTCTCACGCTTTTTAATTTATATTGGGGTGGGAAGTCAGCAGCTGTCCTCTTGAGCTATTAAAATTCTCTGCCTTTTTAGTTTCGTGAAATGAGGCTGGGTGGGAGGAAATTTTTTAAAGATGTCCAGATTCTCAAGGCAGGCGCAGTCTACCTTCCGGGTGTGAAATATAAGGCAGGTGCTGTGGGCAGAGGGGCACCCTCTGAGGATAGACGCTTTGCTCTCCCCCCTAGATTGGCTGAGAGCTGTACCTTTCCTACCTGATCTCCACCAAGTTGTGAGGGACTGATTACGTTAGGAGCTGTATCCAGTGGAAGGAGCCAAGTTTATGTTGTAGCTTTCATTTAGGGAATGAGTTGTGGCGTGATGTTTAGACACTACCAAATGCCTGATTAATGGAGGCGGTTAGATGGGGGCATGTAGTGGGCATAGGTTTGGTTAATTCCAAATCCTGGCATTTATCTGTCACTCTTGCCTTTCACAGTAATCAAGATGATTACCAACTGGTTCGAAAACTTGGTCGGGGAAAGTATAGTGAAGTATTTGAGGCCATTAACATCACCAACAATGAGAGAGTGGTTGTAAAAATTCTCAAGGTGAGTGTCTTATGAGTTGCACTGAAATTTCCTTTTCACAGGTGGGAAGGATATAAACTACTCCAGCCACATTCTAGAGTGAACAGTGGTAGGTCTCATTTTACTTATCTTCTGATGTCCCTCTACTCCCACCTCCTGTTTTCCTGTGATCTTTTGAGAAAATACGCAGACCTGTTTCAAATCTAAGCTTGAGAATTTGGGAACATTCTCGTTCTGAAATGTAATTATAGGCTCCCAAAGTGCCTATTCCAAAGGGGCTCCATTTGTTACAAAATAAATAGGTATTCAGAAGCAAGAAGAGCCTTTTCATGAAGATCTCATCAATCCAAGGGCTTCTTGAGCACTGAGTTTGTTACTCTTGGTGCTCTAAGTTATTCCAGAAAGAGAGCTGGAAGAAATTGGAGCAGCTTCAAAGAAAAGTTTGAAGCTTGAGTGGAGGGAAACACCTCAGTGGATTATCACTTTATTTTTCTCCTTTAGCGATAAACGTTTCAGGTGGTGTGCACATGGTGAGCTGTTAGTGCCAGGAAGGTTCGTTGTTGCTTATCATCTAGTAAAAGTGAAATTGGGAGCAGTAGAGAGTACACTTACAATCACTAACATTATAATTGGAACAAAACCCTCTCAGTCTGGTTTAGCAGCCTAAGTTTGTTAAAGAGACAACTTCTGTCATCTCTTGGATGAAATGTGAAGATTTGGCTAAATTCTCTTTCAGGTAACTGATTTTGTAGCTTTAATAATGTATTATAGGGTGTACTAAAAAGTAATTCTTAGAATCTGTGAAGGGTATTCATCATTACCAGATCACTTGCTGTGTGTGGCTGTCATTTAGTGAAATCTTGATAAGACCAAAGAGTTAATTAATTAATACAAACACTTTTAGGGGATGAGGATATAATTCAGTGGTAGAGTGCATGCTTAGCATACTTGAGGTCCTGGGTTCAATCCCTAGTACCGCCACAAAAAAACAAGTAAAGATTTTTTTTTAATGTCTAAATATATACATACAAGCATTTTACATGTACAGGACTTCTGATGTGGCCATTTTGGAGAGGCTCTGTAAATACGAATGTAGGATTGAAAAGTTTTAAGTAGAGTTATGGCAGCTGTGTCCCTGTTTAGAAAGAAGAGTCAGACTTAGACTGTCTGAAAATTACCTTTCAGAAAAGTGGCCTGCTCTGTCTCTCAGTACCATCCTAGCCTAGTGATGGAGACGCAGGATTGCAGTCGAGAGAAACAGGCAAGTTACTTGTGCTGCCAGAAACAGTAGGGGTGAGAAGTGAGGAACTGATACTGAAGATGTGGCGTTTGACTCCCCTCTTCCCTAAATATGAATTGCACCTACAAAGTCACATTTTTTTTTTCACGAGCATAAATATTTAATGTTCCCTTCAGAGAAGTCACCTGGGACTTTTTTTCCTTTATACATTAGCATAAATGTTTTTTTAAAAAGCTGCTTAAAATCTCTCTAGGAAGAAGCAAGACATAAATTGAAATTAGGAATATTCTTATTCCACTGCTGTGCATTCAGAAGAATGAATTTCTGACTAAATTCCAGAAAAATGTCTAAACTTTTGTGTGATGGTAGCATTTTAGAGTAAATGCACAACTTCCCATGGTGTCTTTTTTGAAAAGGAACAGCACTCAGATGTACATGCAAGTAATAGTACATTGATTTAGGAAGGCGTCTTACTGCCCCTTAGTCATCCTTCTAGAGAACCTCATAACCTCAGTTGGATAGTTTTTCCCCTGCTCTAAAAATTCATGGGATATGTCTAGGGAATCCAATATGGAAGCTGAAGTTTATTTTTACCAACAAGAAACGTAGGCACAAAGAAACGTATCTCACATCACTATGTTGAAATAACCTTTAGCCAGAACTCCCATTTCCTGTTTCTTCCTGTCTCTTGCTGCTCATTTTACCATTGGGTTGTATCTTAACGTTGAGCACAGAGGAAGTTCCAGTGTTCTGGAATAAGACTTGGGAGGCCCCTTTGATGCTCTAGTCCATGAAGTGTTGTTTCTTTTGTATCTCCTTGACACAAGTTCCTTTCAGACTATGGCCTGAACCACCTTCTTTCCACTGGTGAAAAACTATACTCACTTTTTGTTTTTCAAAGCCTTGTAAAATTTCTATCCAGATTTTGTTCTATCTGAAGGATGATGGGGTAAGAAAGTACTAACTGTATTTTTGGGGTTTTCCCATTGTTCTGACAGGCTGAATTAAAGTAGTTTAAAAATACTGGATTTTTTTGTTTGTTTTAAAAATTAGGATCTTTATTCTAAGTTACATGTACCTATTCAGATGAGACAAAGTTATGACTACTGCCTACTATCGTGGTGTTTGGCCACAGGAAATTAGATACTCAATAGAATGCCAGTTGCTCGTAATTTGGAGGAATCTAGAAAAAGCTTCCTGTTCAGGTAGACCTACTGTACTTCAACTGCAGGAAGGAACTTACATATTGATGTGCACGTTGTGACCAAGAGAGAGGGTATGTTCCTCGAGGACAGGAGCTGCCTATCCTTTTGGTCAGTAACATTTCCATCCAGTCCTTTCCCATATATGAGAATGGTTGGATGATGAATGACCATGCAGAAATTTTGTATCATTTAATTTACATCAGATTTCTAAATTTTTTTTGATCAAAACATATTAGGGCTATTAAGAGGAATTTAGAAACTGGTGAGCAAAATGCTTCTGTCTATGCTGAAGTGAAATTCTGAGGCTGAAGTCTTAAACTTTCTAATCAAATAAGAAGGTTATATCTTTTTTGACAAATTGTTTTGAGGAGAAAGGGAGGAGGGTGGATGGTAAGGGTTACTGTAGTATGACAGGAAGCCATTTTTGTTCCTAAAGTTTCATCTTTTGATTCTGAAAAAAATCAGTTTTTCAGTTCTTTTGTGGTAACTCTTAGGAAAATTACACAAAAATGAAAGCATTTGGCCATTTTGGGCAACTTCCAGCCCTTTGTGAGCACCACCTATATATGGATTTCGATTCTCCTTGGGATCCTTCGAATTAAACTGCTGTTTCCTAAATAGAAGTTTAGAGCAATACCAGTTTCTAAAAAACAGATGTACAGGGCTTTGGACCCATGCTGTGATGACTAGAAATCCTCATGAGGCTTCCTGTTGCTAGTATTATTTTATAAAGAGCTTGACTATCCATTTTTTCCACCAGAAATTAATTCTCAAGCTTCAAAGAGTGGTAGTAATACAAGTTCATTTTTTCAGCATGTTTAGCCTACTTGTTTATAGTTATTTTTTAAATTTTTTGCTCTCAGGAGGTAGTGTTAAAAGAAGGATGAGATGTCTGTTGATTATAGATCCTTTTTAGTTACTTCATGATCAGCTGGTGGCTGTTATCTTACATCAAAATGATGTTTTCTCCATGCTGATACTGTGCTTTCTCCTTTATTTCTACTTTCTTAGGTGGAAGGTTTTTTACCCCTCCATTTACTTCATTAGGCAAGTGTACCAAGACATCTTCCTGAAGCAAGACATTAATGTTAATTCATCAGAATTTTTCATGATTTCTAGTTTCCACACGTCTCAAAGTATACAAATGTTTTTTTAAAAGTTATTATTAAACTATTACTGACTTCACTCATTTTAATTTTTTTTGGAGGGGGGAGGTACTGGGGATTGAACCCAGGACCTCATGCATGCTAGACATGCACTCTGCCATTGAGCTATACCTTCCACCCTAAGTATCACTGCCTTTAAAAGTAATACAGATTTTAAAAGTTGTGTGTGAACTAGTCAGTGCTGTTTCTAATATTGTGGTTGTGGGGATCAGAGATTGAGAGTGTGGTTAACCTGTGAAACAATCACAGAATAGGGGAGCATAGAAATGATTAGAACCCAAACCTTTTTTTCACAAATAAACCAAGACCCAGGAGTGCCTGCAGTTTGCTCAGGGTCCCATGGCTGTGAGGGGAAGCACTAGGTTCACAACCCTCTGTCCCTGTTTTGGGGTCTTGGTAGATGTGAAGGGCAATGGTAGGACATTTACTGGATATTTGACTTCTTGCTGTACATCTTGCTGGAAAGATGGACGAACACTCAGCAGAAGTCAAATGAATTACTTTGTTTCTAATGATTTTTGGAGTTATTCTGAAAGGAAATAACTTGATGTCAGTGGGTTGCTAGTTGAAGTGTGGAATAGATGAATACCCAGAGAGCTATGGAGACCCAGATTTGGGTTCTCTGGTTTGTATTCACAGCAGCATGTTTAATGCGTAAGTGAAATGTTACTTTCCTTTCTTGGTCTGATACCACAAGAACCAATGTTTTTGTACTTTTTTAACCCATACAGTTCCTCCAAGTCTCATCCTGATTACTTGTAAGGTTTAGGGGTTAAGTTTTATTCTTTTAATACATTAGAGTTTATTGGAGAGTGCACCATGTGTGAAAAGAATATTTTGGTATATATAGAGTACCTAATTTTCATGTGTAGAGCATGACTCCAAATAATTTTTAGAGCCTAATTTTAGGATCTGTCACCTCATAATCAGGGTGATATAGTGTAAGAAGTACTGCAAATGGAGGGCAGAATACTTGGACTCTAGAACCAGCTTCTTCATTTATACCCACTTGACTGTTTTGTTATCTGTAAAATGGGTATACCTTTCTTGTTTGACTCACAAGTTGTTGGGAAAATCAGATGAGATGCAGATAGATGAGTAGGTAGTTAGAGGATGGTGTTTGAGTAATCTACAAAGTTTTTTTCTTTTTCAAGTGTGAAGTAGACTGCCTGGATTCAGGTGTTAATTCCAACACTTAGGAGCTTTGTGACCTTGAGCAGTTACATAAACTTTCTTCCTCAGTGTCTCATGTAAAATTGCAGTAGTTAGTAGTACTCATCTCAGAGTACTATTAAATGTGCTTAAAGCAGTACCTGGGACTTACAAAGCAGTAAAATATGGTTACAACAATATTTCATTTGGGCCAGGTGAATGATTTTAGAGGGCAGAACCAATCATAGAAAGGACTATACCATCCTCTCAATGAGATTCAAAAGACCTGCTGTATATCTCGCTTTTTAAAATAAAAAACATTTTTTAAATCCTGAGAATAAACAGTTACCCTTAAGGAGTTGGTAATGTAGTTGGAAAGATGAGAGTTGAAAGATTAGGGGGAAAGTTGCTGTGAAGAAATTAACATTGCTCAGATAATGTTTATATTTAGGTCAGTTGCAGTAGATTTTAGAGATGCTACCAAGGTAATGAAATAAAAGCTATCATCCAGACTGAGCTTTCTTTCTGCTATCGTACATTCCTGACAACCATTGTTCATTGTAATTGTTTGTTACTGGTGATGAAATCAGTATCTTAGTCGGGCAATTGTTGCTTTCATGGTGGAATAAAAGTAATCCCATGTTTGAAAGTTCTGAGCTGTAGTCCCACTTTCCTTGAATTTATCAGGTCGGTTGTGCTTGGAAAGACTTTAAGATGGAACTTTGCCTGTTAATATTTGCTGGGATTTATTGAGGTCATAATTCTTAAGCCTTTGGTAGACATTACTTTGCAAATTCAATCACAATTAAATGCTAGTAGTTGAAATCTTTCTCACATCTGGCTTTTTAAAAACCAGCTCTGAGTAAATAAATAGAACAGATTACTGACTTTATCAACTTTTTCCTTTCCAAGCAGCCCATCACTAAATTGTTCTTTTGTTTTAAAATGTTTTAAGTTGGTGAATGGGGAAAGAGAAAAAATACCTTACTCTTGAATTATTTTGAACAAGTTTCTCTTAAATAGCTAGGACTTTCACTGTGGGCAGAAATCTGAAAAAATGCTTTTTTTCTTTCTTTTCAGATCTCATGCACAGAAAATTTTAATGGGTGTTTTTTTCCCCATAAATATTGTCTCTAGGTGTGTGCCAAAATTCATTTATTATTGAAACTTATTTTAATACTTTAATTTCTTTTTTTAGCTTTTTACCATTTTATCTACTAGACTTTGTGTTTCTTTTTCCTTTTTTTGCTTTGTTAAACTGCTAAACTGATTCAGTTAGAATCAGGTAAATTCTCTGAACTGGAATAAATGAACCTTGGGTAAGAGAGAGGCTCTTTCTAATGTGCAGGGTGAAATGATGAGATTGTGATAGAAATGTGTTCGCCACCTTCCTGGTGGTGAATGAGTGCAGACTCTGGGCTAGAGGGTTAAAGCATCCTTATTTCTGTAAAAATTCATGGTCTCTTTTCCTTTAAATGGCAAAGGTCCCTTATGAATCCTAACTTTTTCTCTTCAGTTACTATTTATAGAATTTAAATCATTGCTTTCACTTCCTGGGAGTTCATTGGTTTTTTAGCTTCTGGAGCATCTCTCAGGTTCAGCAGAGTAGTCTTGAGGCTAAAGGAAGTTACCTGTAGCCTGGTTCCTATAGAGACTAGCTGCTCCTGCTTTGCAGAGGCGTGTCCTGAGCTGTGCATCACTTTCCTTTCTTACAGTCTCTTTGTCTTTTGTCAGTATATGAGGACTCCAGCTGCAGTATAACTCCATTGTGTGACTTCAGAATTACCGTGCTGTCCCCAGTCTCTGGTTCGAGAAGTTGTTGGACAGGTGACAATTCAGCAACAAAATATGCTTCACTTGCTCTATAAGTTACCTTTAGACGTAATGAAAGATATGTTCATCTTAACTGAGTTGTCCAGGAACAGTGTGCCTGTCTGATCAGTTGCTGAATAGCAGGAGAACAAAGCAAGGCTTTATATGGGGCATTGTCATGAAAGCAACTTATTTAATGGTTTACCCCTGTGCTCACCCACTGTTAGAAGGAGAGGAGGGCTTTTGGTGAATATAGGCTGCTTCTGTCTGTGGTGTTTTTCTCCCTCTGTCACCAGTCCTAATCCCACAGATTTGTAGTTGCTTTCCAGTAGTGGATGAAAACTCTGGAATTTTCTTACATTGAATATACTGGTAGCATTAGTAAATTTTTAGATATAATACCCAGCTTTTGTTTTCCTTTTAACTTTTTCACAAAATTTCAGACTTACAGAAAAGGTGCAAAAGTTCCCATGTATGTTTCACTCAGATTTCTCAAGTATCAGCATTTGTTTTTATCCTTCTCTCTCACACTGTCTCTTATGTATACACACACACATAGATAATGTATGTATATGCCTATATAACTATATTTTTTACATGTTTTAAGTGCTTGAGAGTAATTGCAGTCATCCCTGATTTCCTGTATTTTCTAAAATCAAGAACAATTTTTTTTGCATAACTCACAGTGCCATGATCCAAAGTCAGAAATTAACATACAGTGCTGTTAGCTAATCTACAGCCCCCATTCTCATTTTTCAGTTGTCCTTATAGTGTTCTTTATCACAAAGGGAAACCTCAGATCATGCGATACATTCAGTTGTCATATCTTTTTAATGTGGAGCAGTTGTTCAATCTGTATGTTTCATGACATTGAC